TTCCTTTCCTTTCCTTTCCTTTCCTTTCCTTTCCTTTCCTTTCCTTTCCTTTCCTTTCCTTTCAGTTTAATGCTTTTGTTGTTCTGTCTATTAAGTTTTTAATTTAACCTTGAAGGCCATTAAAGTCATTTTCCTAAGCATTACTCTTTTTTCTTCCCCGTACACAACCAGTCTTCCTGAATTTGAGCTTTGTGCAGGGGTCAAGTTATTGATTCTCTTTATCTTTTTGTTTTGTTTTGTTTTTAGGTGTTTGTTTGGTTGTGTGAGAATAGCAACCAGCTTGGTCTGCCTTTCTTCAGTGTGTGGCTTGCAGGATGAACTTCCTGCTCCTGGAAACTAAACTGATCTCATACAAAGTTAATGTCTGGCCCAGAGATTGCTGTGTCAGTTATGAGCCCTCTGTATGTTATTATTGCCATTCTATGTTTACTTAGACTTTGGCACAGAGTGTTATAGTTGTATGCAGTAAATATTAACTTCCAGGGGCTCACAATTCTGCATTTTCATTGTGTTCATTCTTTTATTCTCCTCTTCCACCTGAGGCCATTTACCCACAGCCTGAAAAACAGCCTCTCATTAAAAATTATGCCAGAGCAGCCACTGGTACAGAGAATTTCCCCAGTTTGTGCTTTCCTGAAAGCATTTCTCTCGCTTTCGTTCTTGAAGGAAGCACACAACTCTAGGTTGGCCTTTCCTTTGTTCCATCGTCCCTCGATGAGCAGCGATCTGTCTGGCACTCAGCCCTCCGTTTCAGGCCTGCATCCATGAGGCAATCTCAGGCAGTTTAAAGAGCATTTCCTTCGATTTTCTATAGTCTATCATGTACCCAAGTGGGAAGTCATTCTTATTCAGACTTCTAAACATTCACAAAGTCCTTCCCCTCCCCATAATACTTTCTGTTCTAGAAAGTTCCCAGGCTATCTCATCAAACACAGTGTCTTCTCCCCCTCTTCCCCTTCTGGGACTCCAGTTGGCGGGATGTTGGGCTTTCTCATCATACCTGTTTCTCCCTTTTCCTATCTCTTTTATTTTCTCTCCCCTCACTTCATCCTGGATTTACCCCCTTCAGCAATTCTTTCCTCAGTCCTGAAAA